AAGCCGAGCTGACCCCGTTCTACCACCCACTAAAAGTCACAGAAAATTGTCCAGGACCATTTTCTGCTTGGTTGACTGAGCTGAGGGACACCTTCCCTCCTGCTCTTCTGAGAGCTGTCTATATAGTTCTAATTATTTTCTCTAATGTTATACTAACTATCCAACCCTTCAGACTTTCCTCCTTATTTCTTTTTTTCTTGTAACCTTATTCTTCCCTTTCCTCCCACCCACTGCAGAGAATTTTGGTGTCCATGTGGATCCCTGGCTCAGCCCTTTACAGTCATATGACGCAAATCAGAGATCTACAATAGTAAAAACACTGGGCTACACCGTGAAGTTTTGCTTTAGACACCAACACTGGGAGGTTGGTGTGAAACCCACACATCGGTGAAGATAAACCTGGACAAATCCTCAACAAACCTAACTACACTTCCTTCCCGCAAAGTAGGTATACGCTTTTTAAAATATTTTTTTAAATGCAGAATAATCACTTGTGTGCTGCTAAAGCAGTCAATTTTATTTTAATTTAAAGGATCATTTTGAGTACTTTTTAAATCATGGGGATTCTTTCTTTTGGCTACATTAAATATTTCCTACAACAATCCAAAGAAGTCCTTACATTTTATCTTCATTTGATAGACAGACCCTAACTGACATTATTGGCCACATTGCTTAGCTTTTTGTAGCTTGAAGAAGGCAAATAGAATTCTCCAGGACTTCTACTGCAAATCCATTATTTAATAAAATGTATTTAATCTATGATTAAAGTGCTGCAAAATCATACAATAACCAGAAATGTTGGTATGCATTCTTAAAACCTTGGCCAAATGTCACAAATAAGACTTTATCAGATTTTTTTAAATGCATTTTTTTAAATTCATAGAAGTGTCTATGTTTTACTAGTTTGCGGCTCCAAAAATAAGTTGAGGAAGAGGCAACGTCATGATTATTGGCTGTTTGGGCGTGGGGTGAGTTGAAGATTATTTAAACCACCACACACAGTTAAAAGAGGAAGCATGTGTCCAGTGCTGTTTTCTTTTTTAAATCTGAGTGATGTATTGAAACAAATGGGATTTGATCTAAACCGTAACTCAGTTCAAACTCTTCCTAGATTAAACTGAGGTTCATCTGACAACTTGACAATCAGCTTTTTTCATCCAGGATTAAAAAAACACGAACGCATGTTTGTACCTGTTAATTATTCATAATGAAAATATGTCCTGTAGTTTTGCATTTTGGCAAAGTAATCAATTCTGACTTGACTGAATTTCAAGTGTTACTGTGGCCATTGATGCTTGGATTTTGAAACCACCCTCTGGTGGCGTCATAAAGGTGGAGCACACGCGCGCCTGCGCACAGGACCGTTCTGTGAATGGCGGAACCGACAGGAAGGGACAACACACACCCACACGTTAGAGTATCGCATACACTTGGCAGCTGTCGTAAAAGATGTGATCACAGTGATGTGAAGATTTCTGAACAGGAGTAGTGTGATGAACGAGGTAAGAAGACAGCATATTCCGATTATATTCCTAAAATATAGAACAGATTTATGAGAGAGGAAGGACGGTGAAGTCTAGGGGATGTTAGTAAACTATCTGATCATTACATGCCGGTGCCGGTACCACGTGACATTTATCGCGGCGGTGATAGTGTCGGACTAATTAGCTCTACTCTGTCCTTCATTAAAAAACTAACAAACAAAAACATAATTACAATTGATTATTGTAATTCTTTAAATCGTGTTTTTTATGTCACAACCACATGGTGTTTTTGGCGCTAGCAGTATAAGGTAGTGTGCCAACGTACGTTGTGTGTCACTGTGTGAAAGGTCAGGCGTCCTTTCCACTGAGAGAGAAAGAATGGATTATAGGGAGAGAACAGAAAGGTCACTCCAGTCACAGTGGCAGATGTCCTCTGTCCTCTACATGAGACGTGTAAAGGACAGCAATGTCCTGGGCAATGTCAGGGTCATACTTCCATCAGTTAAAAATAATATGTGATTATATATGTTATATATATGTTTTGCACCATTTTAATTTTTGTATTGTATTTATAATAACTGCTGGTGTTGCACATTTGTTAACTGTTGTTATTAACATGCTTTTCAATTTCAAAATCTCCATTTTTAATATTGTTGTTTACTTTGGATACTGCTCTATTTTTAGAGCAGCCAATTTGTATTCTGATATAGTTCAGTTTTATCTACTTCAATGACACATAATTTTCAACTACAAATGTGAGTGTTTATTTGTCTCTATACGTGTACCTGGACTGGTGAACTGTCCATGGTGTACCCGCCCTCACCCGTAGATAGCTGGGATTGGCTCTAGTGCCCCACTCAGGAAGGAATAACAATAGATAATGAACCGATTTAGTAGTTAAGTTCAGGGAAATTTTTAAACAGTAGTTTGTATTCAGTATGTGCTTAATTCAGCATTTTCAAATGCAACCAGAAAGGAACACAGAAGAGTGTGTTTCACACAACACCTACAGTAAGTTTATTTATAGCTAACTGTTTTTCATTGTTGACTAATGTGGCTAGACCAACATTTAGCTATTTTTAGCCATCTAACTTGACTGGTTGACTTCCATCCTTCTGAGTTCTACTGAAGCTTAGGGTTACATCTTTTATTTAGTTTTTACTTTTAAGTAAAATTAGATTATTATTAATTTAATTAAGTCTGACATTTCTTTAAAAATAGTATTAATAGTAACGTACAGCAGTATACAACTATACAAAAAATGTATATTTTGAAATTTGAGTTTATATGCTAAATTTCCAGATTCAATCAGATTTTCTACAAAATTAATTTCTTTTTTAATTATTAGGGAACTTTAATATTTTAATTACAGTATTTGAGGTACTTTTCCAAGCTATACGTCAAACAAAATGACTATCTTATTTCACAGATCCTATAAGTATCAAGGTCTACTTCCTGTATCTAATCCTTGTTTGCTTGTTTACTGTTGGTTGTGTCTGTATTTCAGAGGCGGGGCATCTTCATCTCCTGATTCACCTCCTTCATGCCAACATCATGTCACTGCTCACCCACGTGCTGGCCTGTCTGCTTGGTATGGGCTCATGGGTGGCCATCAATGGAATGTGGGTGGAGCTACCATTGATTGTACCAGCGATCCCAGAGGGTTGGCACTTGCCCTCGTACCTTACAGTCATCATCCAGATGGCCAACATTGGTCCTTTCTTCATCACCTTCATGCATCGCTTCCGGCCTGGAGTGCTGAAGGAGCGGACAGTTATCTACTGCAT